GCCTATACTGCTTGCGCGCCGCGATAATATCTCGTAACTGAGTCCGCACTTCTTGAATTTCAGGGCGGCGGATGTTTGTTGCAAGCTGATAGCCTCCGCGGATGGGCTTGCCATCACTGTCCCTATAGGCAGGGTTGCCCTGGCCGAAGGCCGAGTGTTCCCCTTTTCGGCGTCTTGGGTCGTTGTACGGAAGTAGCTGGCCACCTCTCCTGAGAGCGTGTTCTTTTGGGCCAGCCTGTCTCCACTCACGAGGAAGTCGAGCCTGTGGATGTGGCTCTTCTCTGACGCGCGTATGGGAACGAGATCTTCTGGTGTTCTCATCAGAGGAAGCTGCCGATGCAGCAGGAGCGGCACCCGGTGGAGGTGCCTGAGAGGGCTCCTGTGCGATCCCAGATGGATCATCCGATGGAGGCGGGTCTCCCTGCTGTGTAGAGCTCGGCGCAAGTGGCGCTTGTGCCGATGGTGATGATGATTCAGACTCATCAGGGTCGAAATCAACCTCTTCCTCACCATTCACGTCCATCATGAGGATGGTGACATCATCCTCATCTAACCCGCAGCCATCGCCATCTACTTCTTCTGATGTCGAACTACCAATGACGATGGCCATTGGCGTATCTGGTACAGGCAAGTTTCCCTGCATATCCGGCGTCTGGGCGTCGCTCGGCTGTCCCGGAGTAGGAGGCACTGTTGTCGGCTCAGGCTCGTCGCCGAGCATAGGCTGCCCAGCAATGTTACGCATGGCCGTATGGTTTGGCCTCATTCCCACCTCCTGGAGGCCCCATCCTGGCGGAGGAAGATCATGACCGCGCATAGCCATCGCCATTTCCAGAGCACGACGCCGTCTACCACGGGAGTATATCAAGTGTCTCTGCACTTCCTGAGGATACACGCTGTCAATGAGAGTCAGAGCTGCCAAAAGTAGCTCTGAACTACCGCAAGCATCATTATCCTGTTCTGTCATGATGCCAGCTTCGATGTGTTCTTGACTCTCAGGATAACCAATTGTAAGTATCTCATGCATCCTCATGAGGGTCTGCAAAAGGGTACGTGGTCCATATTCGCCTGGAGCAAGCGAACCAGGAGGTATGAACGGAATATCTGGTTCGCCTGCAATGAAGGCCTGAACAAATGCCTGAGACTCCATTTCAATTAAGTCTTCAGTGGTCTGGGGATATTCTCCCATCAAAGAAGGCCTGTTTCCAGGCGGGATTTCGGGCGGAGGTTCGAGGTTTCGTTGAACCTCGGAAGGCGAAGCCTCTATAGTGGTGTCCTCGTCGTCGCTCTCGTAGGCCATGATGTTGCCTGGGTTCCCGAACATCCAGTCGAAGAATGAAAGAGGCTCGTTTCCAAGCGTACCGTGTTCCACGGGAGTGAGTTCGTTACTGCCCGTGACGAACCGGCGGACGTACTCGAGGTAGTACGCGTACAATCCATGACCATACCCCTCGAGCTCGTCGATGTTGTCCATGCCAACAACCCAAGTGAAAAATATCTGTTCCATAGCCTCAAAGTCCTGGAGGCTCAGATATTCAATGGATGGTGCACTTGAGCCAAAATGGACTTCGGACGACATGCCCTTTCCATTTCCCTTCGCTGGACAATCTCGCACAAGATGGTCGGAACTACCACATTCATGGCATTTGAGAACCTGGCCGTCTCTACCTCGCGGGTTTCCCCGCCTACCTTTACCTTTACCTGAGGTCTCTCTACGGCCTTTACCACGGCCTTTTCCCCCAAAGAATATCTCATCATGTTGTTCATCTGAGAGCCTCTGGAGAAATGCCGCGATGCCTCGCCCGTTCAACCTCCGACGACCACGCTTACCTTTACCCTTTCCTTTGAAACTTCTGCGTATCCTCCTTCTAACACGACGCACTGGTTTTCGTGTGAACCTCCTCCACCTTCGTTTAGCCTGTTGTAACAACCAGAATAAATGCTCAGCACGCTGATTGTCGTTATCCATATTCATGATATCTGACCAATCTAGAGCTTCAACACCATCTGATGATATAGTGTCTGTATCGGTGCCGGAGTCGAAATCTTCGTCTCCTAAATAGGTGGATACACCGTCGGTTAGGGGATTTGATTCCCCCCATAACGAGCGGTGTGGTTGTGGTTCTCTAGAAGGAGGGCTGGTTGCCCAGCTTGGTTGTGATCGATCCCCTGCTAATGAAGCAGTGGATTCTCCTGGGTCATCGGCCCATATGTTTGAGGGCCCGTTTCCAGGCTGGGCTTCAGTGGTCAAGGTAGTGTAGACATTTCCACTACCAGATCCCCTTCCCCTTCCAAACACAGATCCTATGTTACCAGGAGACCGTTCGGATAGGTGGCCTATCGAACGCATCCTCTCCAGCAACTCATCATACTGTTGTTGTGTTCGGGGCATTTGGTGATTGAGTGGCTGTAAGAGTTGCATGGCTCGCTGGTTGCCGACGCCTAAGGCGCGGAATAGGATAGTGGTTAGCAGTTGGAAGTTAGGAAGGTCGAATCCCACCGACTGTGCCTCAAGTCGGGCCATTTCGAATCGGGTAAGAGTGACATCAATTCGTTCCCCGTGAGGCACGTGGACGTCGATGGGTTGTGTGCCGGAAGTGAGCTGTCGCTCATCTTCCAGGCGTTCGAACTTCATGCTTAGGAGGAACATGATGTAGGTCGCTGGGTCTGTGTGGACCCCATCGATGTCAGCACCATAGTTGATAATGTCAGGCGGTGCCCTCATGGCGAGTGTCCTCGCTAGACCACCTAGGCCGCCTTGTATTGCGGCCGCTTGGGCCTGTGGCGTCATACGTCCGCTTGTAACGTTGAGCCATGCGTTGACCTCGTAGATGTACTCACGAAAAGGTACATTACCTTGAGGGTCCCAATATGGGCCATGTGTTTGCCCATCGGTGCTGTTTTCTCCACGACGCATGTGTCCGATTGCTGCCCCCAGCGCGAACCATATAATAGCGAAAACGACTAGCCCGAGAATGTGTAACGAAGGACGGTTATGATGCGCGTTGTCGCGCTGGGGTAGCGCCTTGTCGAGTCTTCGAGGCGCTCTGTCTGGCGGGTCCCCCCGCCCTTGCTTCAAGTATTGCGCTGTTAGCTCGTTGCCGAGCGGTTGGTAGTAACGCAATGATGAAGCGTATATGGTACCAGTTTGGTCGTCTAGACGTCGTACCTCTCGTGTTGCTTCTTGCTCTTGAATAGATCCTCGTAAACGTACTGGGAGTGGTGGCGCAGGGTGGTAGGTGGTCACGAAAATCGTGCCGAAGAATATGAGGCTAAGAAGAGCAAGAGTTGACCACACGAGAGTGCGGCCAGCTCCGCTACCAAGTCGAAAGTGAGCCTGGTAACTCAAATAGGGCATATAGCCTGGCAAATTGCATCCATCGCTCTGCTGTGAAGGTACAGTATGAGGGGTGGATGGGTAAGATAGGATAAGATCGATGGAATGATCTTTCCAGCACATAGCGAACACTCGCGGTGTCCGGGCAAATAGGGCGCGCGTGCCTTGAGCCCAAGGCAGCGGCGCGCGAGCTATGCTCCCGATACTGTAACATCTCCCAAAGAGCTACCCTTAAAGTGGCGAGACCGAGTCCTGGCAAACCCGGGTCTTACGCCCCACGATAGAAAACTCCGAAAAGAGTTACGATTCCTCACGAGGGCTGCGCGAGTGACCAAAGAGGGCCCAAGGGCAGCCCTACAGCGAAGCCCACTGGGAATCAAATCCCAACATGGCCCCAATATATTCCCCAATCAGAGCTTGCCTCTGTAGTGGTCCTAGGGGATTCATACGGTTAGGTTAAATTTGCCGCCGATTTTCGCCGCACGCCCGGGTGCCCGGGTGCCCGGGTGCCCTGGTGCCGGAGTGCCTGGGCGCCTGGGTGCCCAGGTGCCCGGGTGCCCGGCCTATGGCCCTGTAGCCCTATAGCCCTAATAGCCCTTTAGCCTTATAGCCTTATAGCCCTACAGCCCTATAGCTCTACAGCCCCAGAACCCTATAGCCCAACAGCCCTATAGCCCTATGGCCCTGTAGCCCTGTAGCCCTATAGCCCCATAGCCTTCTAGCCCTATAGCCTTGTAGCCCCACAGCCCTAAAGCCCTCAAAAAATTATGATTGGGGGTTTTCTCCGGTATCATTTCCAAAAAGTGCCGTTTTGACCCCGAGGTGGCACAGAATGGCCCAAGACAGCCCCCAAGAAACGTCCAAAAGGCAGAATCAGCCCCTCAGGGCCCCCCTCTGATAGCCCACAAGAGTGTCCCAAACCCTCCAGTATTGCCACGATCGTTGGAGCCGCATGTGATACCTTACGATTGTGGTGTTCCTGCCTGTGCGGGCCCGAGTGGGCTTCGTGGCCCTCGTGGTCCGTGGTGGCTCCGAGAGGATCCCAACCGAGCCCTGAGAGGACCCTAATCTTCCTGAGTGGCGAACCAACAACACACACCCATACCCATAGGGGGATGGGAGAGGGCTATGGGTGCGTGTTGTCGGATGGGGGTCCCCGCTCGAACGGGAGCGTTCCCCAGGGTCCGACAACCCGCACCCATACCCATAACCAGTCCTCCTCACAACGACCCCCCTATGGGTATGGGTGCTTGTTGTCCGTTCGTCACTGAGGGCCTGGAGCGGGTCACAACAGGGCCCAACAGCGGCGGAAGCCATCAGGAGGCAGCAGGCAGCCCTCCAACAGGGCTCCGGGGTAGCCCATGACGCCCCATGCCGACCCCACGGTGCCCCCAGCCGGCCCAGGCAGCCTCCGGCAACCCTCGAACAGGCCCCCGGAAGCCCCTGGGACGGGCCCGAACCACCCAAGACCCCGCATGAGGGCTTCGGGAGGGCTTCAACGGAGCTCAAAGAGGGCCCAAGAGCGGCGTCACAGACGACCCAAGAGCGGCCATTCGCGAGCTTCACGCGACAATTGAAAGACACCGCCGTCACAAAACAATTATTCCGCAACACAGGCTGATGGCAACGATGCTTCCGGCTGGGGCAGCGGAGTGTTCGAAGCAGCAGAATAATGACAGCGCCTTCTGCCACTGCCGACCTTGGTGGTACGCATTAACCCCTGCATTGTAACTGTTGATGTTTGGCTCCAGTGCCGCTTCCCGCATCTCGGCCAGCAGTGACACCGTGTCCTCCCACTGTTCGAGGTGATCGCACGTGCTCATAGCAGTGTTGTAGCTGATAACGTCCAGCACGATGTCTGTCTTCTTCAGTTCGCCGAACAAGAACCACGCCTGCTCCCACTGCCTGGCCCTCCGGCACGCGCTGACCACAGCAGAGAACGTGATGATGTTTGGATGCAACCCTTTCGCTGACAACTCAGCGAACAACGACAAAGCCTGTTCCCACTGATTGCCCTTATCGCACGCGCTGATCGCAGCGTTGTAGCTAATGACGTCTGGACTCAACTTCGCCTTACAAAGCTCGCCATGCAAAGATAGCGCCTGCTCCCACTGCCCTCCCTTCTCGCAAGCGCTCATGCCAACATTGTACATGACCAGGGTGAACAGGCAGAGCCTGTCCTCGGGAGATACCTGCCTCTGGGGGAGGGCAACGTATTCGACGAGGGTGGGAACACTCGCGAAGAGGGCAGATCTCTCCCCTCCGACTTCCTGAGCATCTCAATCGCAACCTCGTACCCATTGCTGCCATGTCCCCCAACTCGTCTCGTGGCCCCCTCCTCCTCTTCATTATGCTTATCCTTATTTTTATCATTCCATTTATCCTCCTCTTTATCCTCCTCTTTATCCTCCTCCTCCTCCTCCTCCTCCGCTTGGAGAAGGAGGAGGAGGAGGAGGAGGAGGAGGAGGAGGAGGAGGAGGAGGAGAAGGGGGGAGGAGCTCCTCCACACGCCAGCTGTCCCTCCGCCGCTCCCCCCTCCTGGATGCACTCCGATTCGCGGGGGGGGGGGGGGGCTCGAGGCTGCCGGGCCTCGAGGCCGGCGGCGAGCGTGCTCGAGCGCACTCCCCAGGGCGCCCCCTCCTGTGGGGCAAGGCTGAGGTCGGGCTTGTCCCCTACAGAAGGATTTTGGGCGAGAAATGACGAAATATTCCAACAGTGCCTCCAAATGGCCAAAAAATAATCCAAACAAGTCCCCAGACGATGTTTTGACTATTTTCAGCTATTCCTCCTGTAGAAGGACAGGCCCGACTTAAGGCAAGGCGACAACTGTGGGCGGAATCCCCCCGAATTCCCAAATCCTCCCCAACCCGTGCTTTCTCATGTGTCGAACCCTCCCCCATTCCCAGCTCCTGCTTTTTCCTCTGCTGGCGGGCGGACAAGCCTGTAGGGCGACGAGATCTGCACGCGCCCACTGCTCCTGGCCAGGCCCGTCCCCGGCCCAGGAGCTGTGCATACGCCCTCCTGGCTTGGCCAGGGAGGCATATACACAGCTCCTGGGCCCAGGATGGGCCTGGCCAGGAGCAGTGGATGTGTACAGATCTCGTCGCCCTATACTGAGAGTAGCCCAGGAACGCATATTTTCAGGAGAACCGACTCCTGAAAGACGGACCTCCTTGAGAATCCGTCTGCTTCTACCGACCTGCCGCATCTTGCCCTCGACCCTCGAGGGTCGAGAAGGAGGACGCGTTCACAAACGCTTATGGCCCATGCCTCCGAGGACGAAAACTCTGAGGGCGCGGGGCAGTGTCGGTGGCGACGACAGGGGCGAATAGCTCAGGGGCGGGCATTACACGCATTCGCCCGACGGCCTTGTCGAACTTAGAAATCATCGGCACCCCTGGATACTTACATGTATCGCTCCCCCCTGGGCTATTCGCCCCCGTCCTCGCCTCCGACAGTGGGGCGAACCCTCCGCGCTCGGACGGCAGGGCTCCCGCGAGCCTCCGGCGACCTTGGCACGCCTTCGGCGCCCAGGGGCCCGCGGCGGGCCTGGGACCTTCTGCAGAGCACCCCGGCGACGCCGGCAGGCGCCGCGAGAGATCGCCGTGGCCAGCCGGGCTGTGTCCTCCGGCGGGTCCCGGCCAGGGGGAGCGGTTCGGCAGCAAAACCAGCAGCAGCAGCAGCAGCAGCAGCAGCAGCAATACCGCCACCAACAACAGCGGCAACGACGACAATAACAACAATCTAACAACAACATCAGCACCAGCAACAACAACACCACCAACAACAGCAGCAGCAGCAACAACAACACCAACACCACCACCAACAACACCACCAACAACAACACGAACAACGACACCAACGACAGTAGCAACACCGCTAACAACAACCACAACAACAACGACAACAACAACAGCAACAACAACAGCCGCAACAACACCATCACCACCAACACCACCACCAACAACAACAATAACACATCACAGCAACAACAACAACAACAACAACAACAACGCCAATACTCACCGCGAACATCCACTCTATGCACGCGACCAGCCATGGTGTAAGACGGCTCGGTCCCCTCACTCTGACCAGGGGACGCGACATCTCGAGTGAAATTCTGCAGGGGACCTCCTCGCTGCACCCCGTGGGGCGAAGGCAAGTGGCGGCAATCACACCCCTGGCCGCGCCCAAAAGGGGGCGAGGTCTGGCTTGGGCATGGGTTAGACACCGCTTCGCTGCACTACAGTCGGACCTAGGCCAGAAGAGCATCCTTCAAGAATATGGGACCCTCCGCTGGCCAAAGCACATGGCACATCTCCAAAGGTACCCTCTCCAGGATGCACAAGAACACCCAACGAACACGAATAACACAAACATGCCCTCCCCGAACTAACCTTGGTCTTATGCCTCGGTCCGAGTGCGTCGGCCAAGGCAATAGGGCAACGACTACGCCCCGTGGTAGCACCCAAGCGTTAGGTCGGGCATGTCCCCCTACAGGGGGATTTTTGAGGACGAATCAAGCATATCCCAAACATACACCAAACACAACCCAAACATATGACAATGAATCGCCCCCTGATTACTTTTTAACTATTTTGGAATATTCTTCTTGTAGAGGGACACGCCCGACTTACCCCAAGAGGGGTCCGTCGGGGATGTGCGAATGGCGCCACCTCGCTGGACCCGATGTGTTACAGGCGGCCCAGATTAGTAGGTCGACCCTGCCAGATCAAGGGTACCGTCGTGTCCTGTGTCTTGCGACCCATGCGTCCTGCATTTATGTGGCAACGTGGCCCTCGGAAGGGTCTTGTGTCCTCTCGCGTGTCCTGTCCAATCTAGTCCGACTGTAAAACAAGACGGTCTCAGCCAGAAAGGTTTTTCGAACATTCTCAAGTGTGCCTCTAGGCAAGCCAGGACGCTTCGCCACTCCCTGAGAATGGCGCCGCCTCGCTGGGCTGACGACCTACCACACCACCCCGACCCAACCCGAAGACCCGAATTTGACCCGAGACCCGAATTTGACCCGATGTCTTCAATCCCCCCCGACCCACCCCACACTGGAAATCGAGGGTAAATTCGGGCCTTCGGGTTGGGTTGGGTTTGGTGGGTGGTGATGGACCCCCGCAGTGGCGCAGCAGAGCGCCGACGCCTGCTCGCCTGGCAGCCCGCCGGGGGGGGCGAGGTCTCGCTGACGTCCGTCGGGCGCACGGCAGCGCGCCGGGCACCCAGGGGGGGGCGAAGCCCATCTTGGGCGCCCGAGCTGTCCGGGGTCGGTAACTCGGGTTCGGACTGCCGAAACACGAGCCCGAGTGAGCCCTGACCCGAGTTGCCCCTGATGATTTGGGGCTCTGGACGCCCGAATTATCCAGGGCATCTCCGGTCCGGGAAAACTCGGGTACCAAATCCCAAAACACGAACCCGAGTGAGCCCTGACCCGAGTTACCCCCGATGACTCGGGGCTCTGACCTCCGGGGTCTGCGCAGGGCGCCGCCCCGCCGAGAGCTACACGACCGCAACAGAATGGCGGCGATTGCGCGCCCGGCTGTTATTTGCGGAAGGCGAGCGGTCCTGTCGGGTTTGGGGGGCGCACCACCCCGCTGGACCCCGAGGGGCGCAGCGAAGGGTCGAGACCTGCACGCTTGACAACGCCCACTGGTATCGGGTTCCTGTCTTCGGTTTTCGTTTGTAAGTCCTGGGGAGGTCTGCATCTTTCCCGCGAGCAAGGGGGCACTGCTGTCCGCGCGAGGCAGCTTGAAGAAAGATTTCAAATCAAATTGCGCGGCGCGCTTGCCTCGGCAAGAAATTTGCCGCGACGCCAGGAGCTGCTCCGACGGCGCTTCCCTCGTCGCAGTGCGCTGGCCCCCTCGGCGAGGCAATAAGACATTTTGCACTGGGCACTGATAGATCGGATGGAAATTCTGCGCCACGCCCACGCAGGAAATATTCAGATCCGGTGGCGCAGCAGATTTGGGGCACTTCTGTCGGTGATCTTCTGACCCGGGTCAATCCAGACCCGGGTCAGTCAAGCCTTGCACAACCCTGCAAGATCCTGCGCCCAAGCCCAGGTCAATGCGAAGGATCCTGCAAGATCCTGCAGGATCCTGCACCCAAGCCTGGGTCAATGCGACCCTGTCCCTGCGGGGTCCTGCAAGATCCAGCGCTCTGGCTGACCCCCGTTTGTGTTGGCCCCCGCCTGAAGATTCCCGATTCTGCTGCAGATGTAATGCGCCGGAGAATTACAGCGCATTGAATTGCAAATGATGTGTTGCACCCGAAAACCCAAGAATGCGTCTGCGCCCCGAAGGCGCTGCGCGCTCCAAATGCATTGCGACCCCGCAAATATATTGCGCCGAATCTACTGCACCGCCACCTTGTCGCTGGACAACCTTTTGGGTCGACCCGAAGAACCCGCGTGCGATGAATTCCGCGGTTTGACCTTCCGAGCAGAGCACTCCCCCGAGCGGTTCCGCGCGCGCGACGCGCCAGCGCGCCAGGTCCACGCCGAGCGCCAGCGCGCCAGGTCCACGCCGAACGCCCGCTGCGCGCGCCAACGACCCGAGCGAAGACGGCGATCCATGTCCAGCCGCAAATTCCGATCGGGGAACGCGCGAAGGATTGGGCAGAGATAGGCCCCCCCGTGGCTCGAGGCCAACAGCATATCGCCCGCCCAAGTCATGCGCGCCATGCGCTCGCATGACAGACGCGACGGAACAAACGCGCCCAAATCTGCCCCGCCTGTGAGCTTTAGGTGCCAGCGGCGCGCCGAAGATGCAAGCAGAATTCCCGGCGCCATGTTTGCCTCCTGCGCGCGCGCCCCCCTGCGCGCGCGAGTGGTTCGTGCAGCGCAGATGTATAATTATCTACTGATCGCCCTTTTGCGCGCCCGTAACTGGGGGGTGCGATGGCGCAGCCAATGTCCCGTCAATCGCCGCGTGACTTGTTGCCCCGAACCACTTGCAGATGTGATCCAGAATGCCCAGCCGTCGGAAGTCCTTGAACGCTTCCTCCGCCCAATCTTTTGCAGCGCTGAGAAGCTCAAGCGTCTGCCAAAACTGAGAAGCGCGATGTTGCCGCTGGGAAGCGAGAAGAACTCCGCGCAAACACCAAGGCGTCTAAGCAACGTGGCGCGCGACACCCATGCCCGGGGGGT